ATAGAGTATTTAAAGTGGATCACCAGCTCGGAAGCTCGGCTAATCCACTCTTTAATAGAATCTCTTGCTCCTGGGAATTGTATTGAAGATTATGAAGAGATTACACAGTCTTCTTGATATTATTTTTCGTTGCCCGCCTCAAAGTGAGGACATTTTACAGTATTTATAGCATAGTTCCTAATTCTATGAGGTCAGTGGTGAGATCTTCGCCTCCATCTTGTAATGTCTTGCTTGATTTCAGGCGATGGTTTAGGCGGTTGAGGTTCTTGCGCTCAGACTGGCGTTTACTGCTATTGAGGAGGCGTTTAGTGGTTGCTAGCTGTCTTCCACTCATTTTCTTCGGGGTGTTGGTCAAGGGAGCCCAAGGTCTAGACCTCTGAGTTCAGACTCTCTTGGTTGAGCTCCCTTATTGATCTCAATTCTCGAGCTCAAACTTGAAATTTTTCCTAGGTGTCATCATATATCAAGACCCTAATAAGTTATAATTTTTTTAAGGACCAATCTTAACTTTTTTGGTTATAACTAGACCCCTAAAACTTGTACCTTAACCCGCCACAATAATTGTAAACTTCGGTACCATACATAGAATCCCTTAGTTTTGCTATGACACAGGTAATTTGTAACACTAGTGAGGCAGGATTTTTGTGAAACTTACTGGCTCAAGACCAATACTTCCCTTGAAGTTTGGATCATTAGTGCTAGATGCTGTTTTTTTAATGTAATAGGCAATGCCCATAGCTTATAAGGGCATACCTCCCTTCATTGTCAAACTTGTTACAATCAACAGAATTTTTACATTTTAGGAAAAGAAAAGAAGAATATTTTCCATACGAACATTATCATCATATGGAAAGAGAAAAAACGGACTAGTTAACATTAAGAGTTTGCTTAAATATTCAATTTTAAAACTGTCATAATTTTTTAGTGAAAAAAAAAAGTGAAAGCACGGTACCGAAAAAATACATTTTGTTACCGTAATAAAACTCCTTTGTAAATAGTCAAATAAATAAGAGACTCGATCAACGTCAAGACTGAGATTGTACGTACTATTGTGTTGCTGTTATACTGCAATGTTGAATTGCATATAGAATAATAAGGTTGTAGATGCTTACCCTATCACTATCCTATCATATGTTTGGCTATGTTGTAGCATGTGGGGTGCTCATAAGTTCATAGGTACTAGTTTGACAATTCATTAAAATTGTTGGACTTTGGGTTGGATTAAAACTTGGGCGTGGATGGCTCTATTTTAGCCAGCTAGTTAGAAGGAGTCCTTTAACACTATGTCCCGACTTTTCGTCTAATAAAAGTGTGTCACGTCTAAATTTTTATTATTTATTATTTTATTTAAAAAAGGTTCACAATTATGAATCATCCAAATCAAATTGAAAATCGTGAAATATCACTCATCATTACGTGTGTCAATTGATTAAATTTTAATTAAAATGTTATACGATTTTGAATTTGATTAGTTGAATTTGAATTAATATTTTCAACCGATCATCTAAAAGTCTAAATAAAAATCCTTGATATTGTATTTATAGATTTAGGATTAGATATACTAAATTCTGATCCAATTGTGATCGATTTACATGTACATGTGTATAAACAAAAGATGAAATTGAGTAATTATATAACTTAATTGTATTGAAATTAAATTCGGACGGGATCAAATTTTTCGACCGGTTTTTTAATTTTTAACATATTCGACTGTCAGTATTAAATTAAATTAATTATTTTAAAATGAAATCGAATTCAAAATAATCAAAATTCAATCGAGATGTAATTATTCACAAGTTGTGACGTGTCTGATTGGTTATCGATCTATTTTTGTTCTTTAATACAATGGTTGGCCCACCATACAGAAATTGTAGCTCAGTTCTGATGAGTGTTGGAGATAAGATAAGGGCTGGGTCCCGTAAAGGTTAGGCCTTTCTTTACCACTACTTTTCTTGACAAAAACAAATCTCAAGGAAAAATATCATGATGGCCATATATGAAAAGATATGTCAGGAAAAAGTAGCACCATAGAGAAAAAAAAAAAAAAAAAAACCCCACGTACACACACCCCTTATCATAAGTAAGCCTAATTTTCTTCAAACAAAATTGGGCAGAAAAAAGCCTGTCAGTGAGGTATGAATGATAAAATCTCCGCCGGGGGGGGGGGGGGGGGGGGGGGGGGGGAGTTGGACAATCCCAACCTAGCTTGAACAAATTAAGGCTTAAACAAGTGTTTTTAATATTTGAGTTAAAATTAGGTCAAAAAAAACTCTAATGCGAATTTAATTTGGGTTAGACTCGAGTTCAGATTTCGGATTCACAAATTCAATCTGAACCCGACAAATTAAAAAAAAAAATATATATATATATATATAAAGCATCAGCACTGATTTTTCATTTTTATTCTATCGATCTCTGTCTCTGTCTCTCTCGTTCATTTTTATTTTTGTTCTAACATTAACACTGTTAAAAACTTGGTTGAAGTTATTGGTTGCTAATTTAGGTGAATATTATGTAATATATGTATTAGGTTTAAAACAACAATCCTATTTTGGGCTCTACCCGAACTCAATCTGAATTGAACCCGTAAAGTAGTCCGAAATCATTAACTCGAATTCAACTCGAGTCCGCCCGAATTAAATTCGGATAGGATTAGGGTTAGGGTTAAAAATTATATATATAAAATTGCGTTAGGGTTGACTGTTCAACCCGCTCGAATTGCACCCCTATAAATTTTGTTTATATTTTGAGATTTTAAATTCAAATCTTACAAACCACTGACTAGAGTGGTTTAGTAGTGATATCGGTCTTATTCTTCACCTAAAAATTAGAAATTTGAGTCTCCATTAGGGATCGGGTGGTTGATCGTTATGTTAGTCTAGTTAGGTTTGATCACAAGAGGTGTTTCAGATGTAGTCAGGAACCTTATGATCCAACTGATAAAAACCTAATAGAAAAGTCGTTGGAAACTCTTCCTTACCCTCACCTTTTTTTTTCTCAACCAAAAAAAAAAAAATTGACACTTGCAACGCAACTGTTTTGTTTAATTTTTGAATAATGCTATTTAGATTTAAAATTTTGACCTAATTTACAGATATAATAATGTGGTTTTCAATCGAACTATTGGATCAACATAAAATTTTAATGTTTGATAGAACCCACAATTAATTCAAAGGTTATAATAAATTAAGTCTCGTCGCATTGCTCTTAATTTTTTTTTTTTTTTTTTTTTTTTTTTATCATAGAGCTGAATCTGGTTGGAATTAGTGTTTGCGTTATTGACTACACGAAGAATGATGTGTGATGGGACGGTTCTCCATTATAGAAAATAATGATAAATAAAAGTTATATAAAGTAGTTCAGCTTGTAGCTAGATATTGGATTAGTCCCAAAAATAAATGTTAATTTACAATTGTGTTCAAATCGTTCCAATGAAAGTGGGATTCTTTCTGGAGACTTTAAGTCAACATACTTTCATTTTTCATTTAATAAAAGGAATTGAAATGACACTTTTTTTCAATCAGAATAATATAATTTTTGTAATGATCTTTGATATGACAAAAGACTTTAATGGACCACATGATTAAGCACCTTTTTTCTGATAAAAAAAGAGAAAAAGAGTAAGCACTTATTTGCTGTATAAAACAAACAAGACTTATGCAAACATATTATAACCTTGAATTATTATCTTTATTTTATTTTATATCTTCAGGTGTAAAATTTCTAATATTATTTTTTAAAATATTAATTTTATTTCATATTACTTTAATAAATAACGACTGTTTATTTTTTGATGATAAATGTGCATGTGAGTGATCTATATTATTAATAAGTAATTGCCAATTACATATATGTAATTGAAAAATCAAGAAACAATACTCATCCATGACTTTATCCTTTCTCAGTTTCAATTTTTTTTTCTAGCCGACCTTTTTTTTCTTCCCATCAACTATTTAATTGCAAAAGAGATAAAATAAAGTGGTATTAGACACTTGACAAGAAGCTCTTTAGGATTTTTTTTTCTCTCATTTGACATATTTTTAAATTTGTCGTTATCTATTAGAGTGATATGAAATAAACTTGATATTTTATAGTATAATGTAAGAAATTTTATAGTTGATGGTGCAAAATAAAAGATAATAGTTCAAGGCGGTAAAATATAATTTACTCAAAAATGAATTAAAAAAATGACAAATTATACTTTGATCTCCTGGACTATCACCTTAATCTCATAATATCTATTGATTGAACTATTGAGTTTCTCATGCTGTAATCCCAATTACCTGAAATCGTTTTATACTGCCACAAAATAAAATGGCTGTCATGTTTGGATAAAAACCCTTCACATGCAGAGTAAAATACACATGCTTGATGTCTAAAAATGTGAAAATGCCATTATAATTGGAGATGCAAAGGAAGAAAAGTGAAGTTAGAGAGATAATGGAAGACCAATAAGTATACTTGAATATGCAATATAATGTTATTAACAACTAAAAAATTGACTTAATATACTGATTTAATAATATGGGGATCATACAAGGGTTTAATTGCTGGGTCAAAGTGCCCAAAAAGATACAAGAGCTGCCCCAAAAGCTTAAAAACTAAAACCAAAATAGATTATCAAAAACCTTGTTCATTACCAGTATACAAAACCCAAAAAGATATTAAACAATATAAAACAGTGCAATCATAAGGCAGCGTATCAGATTCAGGACAAGCTTAGTTCAGAACAAACAGATGAATCATGGACCACCGAGGAGCTGGTGAAGCTGCCATAATCAGACCTTCACTGGGTTCCAAGGAATAACCATGAATGGAATCCTTTGACCTCCAATTTGAATTTCACATCAGACTCTAACACCATCCAAATCTTCTTCACGTTTTGGTTCCTGTCTGCACTGTTTTGCCTCCATTTCCATTATCTTATAGATTAGTGAATATGAGTCGCCCACTATTAGATGTTTTTTTTTTTAATGTTCTTCATTCCTCCTCCTCATAAGCTATGTTCCTCTGGCCTTAGCTTGATTGTCCCTAACCTTCCTAAGATACAACTTCACATCATTTGAATCAAAAGGGTTGTTCTCAGCATCTCCACCCTTCTCTTCAAAGGCGATGCCGAGGCGGCTGACGAATGCTTCAAGGCTGGCCCAGGACTGTTTAAAAGGGCACGGACATGGTGCTGGTGGATGGAGATGGCCAAAGAAGGGACATGTATTGGTATGGACTTTGGTTTTCCCGAACTGGTCGATGTATCGGAGGAATTCGAGTATGTGATCCCCACTGCACCGTGAGAGAGAGAGTGGGGGGCGGTGGTTGTTTAGATATTGCCGGAATGTGTCCCAGTCCCGGCGCTTTTGGTCCTCGTATCGACTGAGTGTCGGTGGTAGCAAAAGTGGTGGTTTTTGGTAGCGGATGGTGTTTGAGGATATTGAGCTGCTGCTGTTTTTGGACTTGCATCGGCGGCTGCTGGAGGCTGCCGCTGCCGCCGCCGCTGCCGCTGCAGCTGACATGTTAAGAATTTCCTTAGGGTTTGTTATTCTTTAGTTTAGGGGGATTTTTCTGAGCTATTTTGGGTGAAAAACCACGTTTGGACCGATCAAAACTCTCGTATGATACAAAGTTACAAACAGCTGAGTGCTTGTACTTTAAACAAAACAGGCAGAGTATGAATTTCTCGGACAGAAAAGAGAAAAATTCTGGTCCTTGGCAAAAAGATAGATCTTCAGAGAGAGAGAGAGAGAGAGAAAGAGAGATAGATAGAGGGACGGAGGGGTGGACGATGACATAAAAAGGAATGGATGGAACGACCGGGAGGAGGTGCGGACAATGACAAGAATAATGCTGTGGAAAGTAAATCTTTTAATCAACTTTAATTTCAAATAATGTGGCAGGCTCGCAATTTTTAAGTTTCCGGCATAATAACATGACAAAAAAAAAAGGATTCAATTACACATTAATTCAATATAAAAGATTTGATAAATTTTTTGATAAGATTAATATTATATAAATGATAGTGATGGAAAATGAGACAAGTAGGCAAGTCGATGAATTTCGACTTTAATATCTTATATTTTTAAAACTCGAATCAAAATATACCTATAATCAATTCAATTATTATCTAATTTGAATTATTTATATATTTTTACATAAATACGTTAGATTTTAAGTGATTATTTAAAAAAATAATTAAAATTTATGTATAATTTATTAAAATTTAATTAATTAAGTTATTTAAATTAAATAAAATTTTTAAATTTTTAACGAATTCTAATATAAACTACAAAAATAAACTTTATCGACTTATCCAATCAAACTTTTAACATCAAATTTATATTTGAATCAGTTGAAATTCGATTCAATTGGAAACAAGAAAAGAAGTGGAGAATAGAGTTGTGTACGGCTTACGCGTAAACCGCAAAGTCACTCATAAATTGACACCTCATTTATCTGCGTAACAAACGGCCGCAAATCAATCTTGAGTTTTCTTGACGCGTTGTATTCTATAACTTCCCTTGGGTCAAGTTCAAAATAGTTATTGATCTGAATTGGGTTCGAGATTGTGAGCAAACATCTAATGTTATTTGGGTTTAAATTATTGATTTAATTTACTAACTTAATCATTTATAATAATTATCAGATTTTTTTTTAGATTTTACAAATTTATACCGATTACTCTTTCGAACTTAGCAGTTATTAACATAGCTTGAGTTGTATTAAAACATGTTCTTAAGGAATAAGGGTGATTGATTTTTAAGAGATGTAGAAAATAATTGAACCTGAAACTTTTACGTTATTAAAGATCAGACTCGACAACCGAACTACCCCCTAAAAGTTTTATAATTATTGAATTGACAATAAATTTCAATATTTATTTAGATCAACAAATTAAATTCAAATAATATTATTACTTTTATTTTGATCAGATCCTATTATTACAAGAACGCAAATGACAAGATTTAAACTCACAATCTTAAAGTCAAATAACAGAGACGATGGTCATCAGACCAACCACTAATTTCACAAAAATCTCATTTAAAAACAATATTATTACTATATAACACTTTTGAAACTTATTTATTAAATTACAATAATTTTTAAAACAAGTGTATCGCAACGAAGAAGTCCAAATTGTTATAATCACAATAATAATATTATTTGATCACATCCTTAACATAACAATAACATTATTTTTTAGAAAATGGGGTTCAATTTTGGGACTTAATGATTATAACCATTAAATTGTTAGTAAATTTTAACATTAAATTATCACTGGATTCCAGCACCATTAATTTAATAATTATAATGCATTAAAATTTTAAATTATGTCTTTAAATTATGTAACATGATTATATAGGCGTGTAAAACTGGACTCGGTTTAGTTGGATGGACCAAAAGAGTTTAGGAGGTAATTATGAACGAGCTGGTGACAACTCAGCAGACATTGGGAAAAAATCAAACGTGTTTATCTGTCCTCTCTCCTTCACCAATCACCACTGTGTACGTACACCGACATACACAACCACCGGCCACCCCTCCCTCCGCGGCACGGCTCTCTCACTGGCTGTTTACCAAATTCAATTTGCTTTTAGAAAGGTGTGTGGGTATTCAAACAAACATACAACATTAAAAGAACAGTACATTAAGGTCAATATTTTCTAATAAAGACCGCATTCCAAAGAACAAAATCGTTTTTCACGTACACACAGATTTGCGGAAAGATATTTTTAAAATCATCATTCACTTGAATCAATCAAGTCTGAAAGTTTAAAGTCGGAAACAAATCCTCTATATTTTCATAAGTAAAACTCTCAAATGCTATCTTTACATGTTTGATTACTTAAAATCGATTCAATCGTCATTCCGTCCGAGTATTCTCACGTTCAAGCGTTGTTATTATATATTCATGGTTTGCTTAAGTTCCATTGATGAAATATATCAGTTGAAAGTGACTTTGACATTAATAATTCATGCTAGTAATATTATACTTCAAAGTAACAACGTTTATTATAAAACTCAATTCAGTTTATAATAACTCACAATGATTTATAATATTCTTTTCTTTTTACTATTATTTTGTTTTGTCATGGAATTTCCAAGGGGATATTTTGTTAGAAAATAATATGTTTGCAAAATCCCATGAATAACATCATAATTTATCTCAACTAAATTCAAATATTATAATGATTGCAACATTGAAAACCGACACCCTAATTGAAGAAGAGATTAAAGTTTCATTTCTACCTTCAGAACTTTTTTTCTTTGCATCCATTGAATTTAAGCATGGTAAGTGACCTAATATACCTAGTAGTGAGCTTAGATCGGTTTACAATTAGGCTAAAATTGAATGTAGAAATTATTGTTGGAATCCATAGAATCACTCTTGTTTTGATCTTTGAAAAAAGTTTTTAAACTTCAATTTTTTTTCTTATAAATACAACTATAAGAGTCATGGTATAGGCCTTGTTGACTAAAACTCATTGGTACTCAAAAGTTGGATGTGAAATTAGGTTTTGGATGTGAAATTAGGTTTTGGTCGAAAAATCTTAAGGTATTGCCCTCTAAGTGCCCTCTTAGCATTCAAGTGATCCTTGAAATTAAGAAAAGTAGAATTATGTACCTAAAACCATCAGTCAATCAATGCTCTCAACGCTCGAGCAATCATGAGGGTGGGTTGACCTTACAGAGTTTCGATTCTAAAGACCAATCTCGTTTACGGCGAGTGATTTATCGAAATTCTCTAAATTTTAGTTTTCTATGTAGATTCTAATTTCATTCTTATATATGGTATGTTTTTGTTCATTCAAAAGAGTTACAAATCAAAGATTTTTAGAGAGAGAATATTAAAGAGGAAAAACTCTAGCCCACTAAACACAAAGACATATGACTACTTGGTTAGATCTAGAGTTTGCTCATAGATTAGTCATGAAATCGAGAGTTTTCCACAAAAACATTTTGTTTTGATAGATTCCAATTGAAGTTCAAGGAGAAGGATTATTTGAACAAGTGCAAGAAGGATCGTGGATTTGACTCATGGAGAGCAATCATAAAGTGTTCAAGAGCTTTGCGATTTGCTTTTAATTACAGATTCAAATATGACTATAGAATTAAATACGACGACCAACTTGATCAAATTCTAATTAATGTTTTTAAAATGAATTTAAGTCAAATCGAAATTCAATTCAATTCATTAACAAGCATATTTCTAACTGTTCGCTGTTGCGATATATTTTGCTGACTATGATCGAATAAATGTTCTTCAACATAATAGTTGTCCCCACCCTCGAGAAATTCTTCTCTGACCTAATAACACAGTAGTATTCAGTGCTAATGAGTGTTGGAGATGAAATAAAGAAAGGTTGGGTCCCGTAAACCATAAGCCTTTCTCTACCACTTCTTTTTTTGACAAAAACTAATCTATGGGAAATGTCATGGCCTCTATTTGACGAAACATGTATTGAAAAGATGCATATATAGAAAGGAAAATGTTTGTGTGGACTTGAAAAGATGGTTCAGCAGAAAAAAAAGTATCACACTTCATCCTAATCGAGTATGGGACAGGAAAAATTTAACAAGACCCAACAAGAAACGTGGATACAAAATAAACCTTTCGGTGTAACTGCACCAAGAATGGCTCAAACTAATTTAAGGTCGAAAGTAGAAACATTAGATTGAGATTTTTTATTTTTAGAATTATTTTTTAAAATTAATTTATTTTTAATTTTTTATGTGAGAGGTAGACAAAATAAAGATGTGTTAATGTTGTTGAGAAAAAAGATTTCAACTTTTATTTTTATTTTTTTACCAGAGAGAGAGATAGAAAAAGTATTTAATTTGAACTTTTGTTTTATCAGAGAGAGAGAGAGTGTGTGGTAAGAGCAAATATTTCTAAGTTTTAATTTTATGTATTAGATTATATGCCCAAATTATTGCAATAAAAATTTTAATTAAATTTAATTTTTTTTATGGGCTAATGATTTATCTAAAATTATAAGATCTTCTAAAAATTTGAGACTTAAAACCCATAGTGTTTTTTCCAAACTGTTAGGCCGGCCTTGAATTGCACACCGGTTAAACACAAAATGGGGCCTAAAGTAAAAGTTTACGTGGCGGCTTATTAATTTTAATAAAAATTTTAAATTATTATATAACATTTTTTATATTATTTTTTTTTAAGATTGAAACGCATGTATATTAGATTTTTGTATCCAAGCATTGTTAACATGTTTTTAAGATTCTTAAATTGAAGCGATATTAATTTCTTTGTCTTCCAATTCTTAGAAGCCCTAAAAAAATCAATTTGGGTTTGATTGAATATTATTATACAAATTTTATTTGAGACATTAAAAATAAATTTAGGCTTAATTTAATTGAATCTCAAATTCTTCTGGGGGACCCTAAAAATAAAAGTGGACTTATTTGTGCATGAATTTTAAAAATTTTATTTAGGGTACTAAATATAAAATTAGATTTAATTAAATATTTTTCTAAAAATTTTATTTGAAATTCTAAA